GACTCGAGAATATTGATGACGAGTATGACTTTATGGCGTTAGACAAAGCGATAGACAAAGAATCCAAAGGGAAAATGGAGCGTTCGTATTGACGGAAGCGGGTGGTTAAAACTGCCGTGCTAAGGAAGAACGCCGTATGAGCCTTTATACGTTGCCAAGTTTCCTTCGATAAAAAGCAAAATTACTGGGAAATTTGTGAATATTTTTTTCCAAACTTTTCAGATAATTTAGTTCTTCATTTCCGCTAAAGTTCCCGAAAATTTCAAGGAAAAATATTCATAACATTCCTTAATAATAAAAATTTTATCGAAGGAAATTTGGCAACTCTTGCATGTACATACGGCGTTTTTCCTTGGCACGACAGAAAAGTGACATAGGAGGTAACGTAATTGACTAATTAACGGCAACCCACAAGGGACCCTTCAGTTTGTCCATCATTTTCCTCCTTAGTCCATGACAACCACCCGTTTTACTTTTAACCAATAAGATTGCTCCGTTTTAACCAATAAGATTGCTCCATTTTCCTCTTGTTTTCTGTGTCTATCGCTTTGTCTATCAATTTCAATAATCAGCCGCAAGTACTATTTTTACGCGAAGCGCGAGGTTGAATATGTATGTAATAGAAATGGAGTAGTAAAATTGCTCGAATCTTTTTGTGCCAGCCAAATCTGTTCCATCACACCATTGACACATTTTTTTAAACAAAAAAACAATATGGACCAAAAAAGTTCTAAGTAAGCAGAATTAATAAAACATGACATACTTTTTCGTGTTTCATCGTTTTTCTGCTTGTTTTTGCCTATTTTCGAAATAGAATGGGGACAGGAAACCTACGTCACATCACATCGCAAAAAAGGTTGCGACGCATTTCTTCCGACAGTTTCCTAGCTTCTCCGCACGAACTCAACCGCCGGCACACATCAAGATAAACACTTCAAGACTGAAAAAATGATTACCTCCTGGAAAATGCACTGGCGTTATTTACGTCAAACTACCCCAGACAACGCACAAACGTAGAAATCTAATAATAAATCAAGCAGCACCATGGAAAACAATCTAAAAGAAGTACCATGAAAAACCGTCACTATTTTAGGCCCAAGCAGAGAATAACACAAATATGGCACTGCGAAGTAGGAAGGGACAAAACAGCCCAAGGAAGGCCGAGGAATAAGAATTGAGAAAGAAAAAAGACAAGTTGGATTTTGCAATCGCTAGCGATGGCAATATTCGTCATGGGAACGTTAGCTTCTGGGATATGAAAATGTTAAGGTACAGTTCGTTTGTAGTATCTTCTGAATTGAAGGGGCTATGTAATTTTGTGTTGACATCTCTTTTTTAACATTTTTAATTATTTTCTTTGCATACAAGAAAGCTGTTATGTACCAATTATTTATTTTCGTTGGATTATTATATGGTTTTCGGAAGTTAACGCATTTAAGTTTCAGGTTCGCTTTTTCGGCGTAAAGTATACATAAGGTGTCCCAAAAGCACCGGGACTTGTTCTGTAACTTCGAAAATAAGATAGATACAGACATGATCTTGATTTTATTTTAAAGATCAACTCAATACCCATCGATTAAAACCAAAATCAGCTCAATCGGATAAAAATTGACCGAGTTATGGCAATTTGAAATCAGCGAGGAAAGTTTACGCCTACGGTTTTTAAGGAAGATTCTTCATCGCCGTAAATCGAAAAGTCGGCCTATAAAGTGATGCTTATTGTGTTATTTTATTTTCGAGGTGTCATTTATCAACATTTTGTACCATCAAACACAACAGTTGACAGTGCGTATTATTGCAAAGTACTAAAGGAGTTGAGAATGCACATTTCCCGGAAACGGTCGGACTTGAAAGCTTCGTGGATACTCCATCAAGACAATGCGCGGCCTCACACATCGAGCTTAACACGTGAATTTATGAGTAAAAATGGAGTTGAAACAATCCCTCATCCCCCTTATAGCCCTGACTTGGCTACATGTGATTTTTGGATGTTTCCTACGCTTAAAAAGGAGCTTCGCGGACGAAGATTCGTATCGAAGACAAAAATCCAGAATGCAATTCAAAACTTCTTCAACTCCATCCCAGAGGAAGAATTCAGGAAAACAATGTTGGATAAGTGGCAAGAGCGCATGAAAAAGTGCATCCGGTTTGATGGACGGTACTTTGAAAAGCAAAAGGAAATTATGGAAGATTCGGAGGAAAGTGGATGCGAATATTAACTTTTTGAATCCTGGTAAGCGAAAAATCTTCCTAAAAACCGTAGGGGTAAACTTTCCTCACTAATTTCAAATTGTCTTAACTCGGTCAATTTTTATTTGATTGAGCTGATCTTGGTTTTAATCGATAGGTATTGAGTTGATCTTCAAAATGAGACCAAAATCATGTCTGTATCTATCTTACTTTTGAAGTTACAGAACCAGTCCCGGTACTTTTGGGACACCCTACGTATGATATTTTTACTCTACACATATGCCCAAATACGCATCATAAGGGACCTATGTGCTTCCTAAGTTGCCAAGTATTAATTATTGTTAGATGATTGGTCTAAAACATTCAATACAACCAGTAAAAATTAACTGTCGTCTACGAGATTCGAACCCCCGCTCGCAACAAAAAGGATGTGTACGAAGCGCTAACTTGGCGTCTCAAACATCCGAGCTATCTCGACGCTCATTCATGGTTGGAGAAAAGATAACAGTTAAGTGATCTCTGACGCTGAGCGGGGCTTCACAAAAGACGACCTTGACATCCGGCCACTGCTGTTAAGAGACACCGGATTAAGTGCATTTCTCTGTGAGACATTGTTTGCCTATGCTTTCATGTGTCACAAGGTTCATCTCAGGTTGCATTTGCTATCGCGGCAGTAAACTGAGGCAATATTTCTGTATTCATGGATTAAATCCATCAATCGAGTTCTGATTTTGGCTCATATATCCGTAACGGGTCCTCCAGAACAATTTTCCGCCTTGTACGATGGTTATTATTTCTTTATATCTATGTTTAAAATTGAGGTGGGATAATGGCGGCTTCTCAAGAGCAACGAGGTAGGCGATCTTTTGCACCAACGAACAGAAAACTGATGGCGAAAAATAGCCAATGAAAACTTCCCAAAAAAAAGAATTTGCCTAAAAACGGAACTTCGTGGTTCTGCGCAGATTTACCAGTCAGACACGACATCTCAAGGTGGAAAAAAACTCGCTGAAAGCGAATTTTAGAAATCGACACAACTTGACGTAGAGACATGATTGGCTAAAAAATACAACGGTTTTTGATACATCGGAAAATCAACCAAAAATCGAAGACTGGGCGAAACGCTCAAGGTCGCAGAGGTATAGGGAATCCCATAGCGAAAGCAACGGAACGATTCTAATATCATGGGGAACTCCGTTCCCATGACAAAAGAAATGAGAAGCACAGTTTCGCCGAAATCTAAATGATCGCAAATAAAATCATCGAAAATTTCGACGCGATATTTTCGTTCGCTCTACTTTCTTTTGATGTAACCAAAAAAAATTAAATATCATCCGAGTTTCTGAACTGTTAAAATGAGGATTAATATTTACCGTTTAATTATAATAAAAACCGGAGCAGAGAGTCGAGAATGATGACACCTAGTCCTGGTGGAAAAGTTAACGGAAAGCAGGAAAATCTCCTTGCTCTTTTGAGGATTACAGTTTCGCGATGCACACTGGTTGGAAACTGTTTCCACCGCACCGTGGGTGGTGAATTTGACACCAAGAAATCACAAAGGATTAAAGCGCGCATCGTGCTGTGAAAGCAATGCGTGAAGTATTCCTACAGTATAATATGCGTTTCTCGCCAACTGACGGACGGAACTGCGTTTGGCGCAATGCGAGAAGTATCCATGCAGTCTTGTAGGCGCTAATATGCGCGTGACGCTGACCGCACTGTTTGGCGCAATGCGTGAAGTATTCCTACAGTCTCGCAGGCGCCAATACGCGTTCAACGCCAGCCGCACTGTATTTGGCGCAATTTTTCGAACTCGCGTAGAATAATCGCTGCATCAATGTGGCTTAAAAGGTCCATGTTGTGCTTCGACGCCGTATGAGCATTTCAACGTTGCCTCGTTTCTCCCGATAAAATATTTTTTCCGAGAAAAATTAGGAAAGTTCTCTATGATGTTCACTCTTTAGACTAAATGGATCATTGAAAAAAGTACGAATTTAAGCACTCCGATTCCTGATTTCTCATCAAAATTTTACGTAAAACACGATTCACGCAACGGAAACTACTTAAATCAACGCCTGAATAAGATATAAATATTTTCATTGTGCATTGGTCACGTGGAATTTGAATTGTAAGAAGTAAAAAATTGACTTCAACCCCTCCGAACACAGGCTATTTTTTTTTTTCGACTTTGAGTTCTTGGCAGGGAAATGTAACCGACTAGAGGGACTCAAAAACATTCTTCACTCAATTTTTTTTTCGAAAATATGGGTTGGTTCCTTTCTGATGAGCTCGGTCCAAGTAATGTGCGTCTTGCTCAAGATCTATTATTGACTACTTCTTCTTTCAGCATGGTACGATTAGACGATTACTAACCTGAAGGATGAGAGGGTGGGAATATGGAGAGGGCTTTCAATAACAGTAACCACTAATTTTCAAAAGGCTATGTGGCTCTCCCCGCCCGGGCCCGAGTGCGGCAGGAAAACTGGAGGGACCAGCCACTCAGTGATGACGTGTAACCTCCTTATCCTTGTATCCTTATCTCCTTTATCCTTATCCTCCCTCCTTATCTCTTTTATCTTCTTTGTCTATAGGTTTGTCTATCAATTTCAATCATCGGCCCGCAGCTCTGAAACTTTCGCGAGACTCTCTCACCATAAACCCCATCTGTAGAAATTTATAGTTTTAAGAGATAAATTAATGTAGTAGTACTAATATTCGTTTATTTTAGAGCGGTGTCATAGCAACTAGGGCTATTAACACCTATGTAGTTAGGTTAGAAAGTTTGCTACAAAAAAAAAAACTTTGGAAAGTACTAGTAAAAAATTAGAATGTATTTACAGGATTAGAAGAAAAATAGAATATAAATGAATGATTGAATACTAAATTGCGGGGAAAAGCCCATCAATAGATCCCCAGTGTTTGGTTAGATTTTGAGTTTAGTGGAGCGCATGAGTTCGAAAAGTTTACAGGGTGGGTGTTCAAAAGTTAATTTTTAGGAGAGGGGATACAGCAGGAGAAAATAAGGCGTTTTCATTTTTCTTTGTAAAAAGGGGTATTTATACCCAGCGAATATGTATTTATAATATATAATAAATAAATAGTATCTACAGAGTAAGTTTGATTCTCGGAATAATTTTTCAATCGCAACTCAACATTTTAGAAGGTGGATATCTCGATGTTAATGCATTGATAGTGTCCAATTCTCCCCTGGTGCCAGTATAATTTTAATTTGTATGGTTCTTCTCCTTTAGGGCGGGAACACCTCTTCCAACCTGTAAGTTCTCAATAAAAAAGCGTTGTTTATGTGGATGGGATTTCCAAAATTTGATTCAAGGAGAGTGTGTATGAATTGGTACTGACTCTTTTAAAAAATAATCCTCCCTAAGATTAAACTTGCTTAATTGGACTGATGTTTAAAACGTGTCATGTGTAACTGATTACTAAATTTACAAAAAGAAAGTTATCTTCTTTAACAGCGATTTTTCTTCCTTTTTTATTTTTGGAAATACAATTTTTTTCCTCGAAAAGCCTGCAATATTTCTTGTCCTCTCCTCAGCTTAATCTTCTATGTGATCTGATAGGAATATTGCCTCTTATCGATGTGCAGTTTTGGAGGATTTAGAAATAAATATTTAAATGAAAAAATAAAAATTCAGTACACATATGTAACAAAATAATCATTAAAGTAGCCCACAACAATGATTACTCCAATGTTCAGATACTATACCTTTCACTAATTTTCAAAATCAATCCAAGAAAAGGCAAATTTTTGACTAGATAAGTTGAGGTACATTAATAACAACTTAAACAATAAATAACTAGACTGCATATTTTCATAGATACAGCAAATTAATGTTTAACTGAGATCAAGGTCTCGATTTTCACTTCCTAACTTATATTTTCTGCCATTGAGACCATGATCTCCGAACATTTTGAAATTAATTTCCAGAGTAAAATAATTCTGTTACAACTAGCAGATGGTAGTTTTCAGATGCGAGAAAAATTGAGTTGACAGAATAGTGTGTGGAGCTTTGTGTCCATAGGCTTATACTTAGTTTCTACCACAACAATCACTGATATTTGAATTGTTCCATAAGTTCTTAACGCAGTATAAGGTTTCAACAGTTCCTTCTTTGAAAATTAGAGAACCTAAAAGAACACAAGGAAAGAATTAAAAAATTTCTCAAAATTTCTCTTGAAGTATTTTCTCTCTTCTTAAAATAATCTCTACAGATATCATGCAAATATGTTAGAGAGGTATCACACGGATAAAATAGTTGAGAGATAAGTAACATTCGTGCAAATTTAAGAAAAATGCGTCAAAAGTTGAAAAATTCGATAAAAGTTTTTACCACAACGAAATTCAATCTCAAATGCTCAGGCGCTTATGCTTCCTCAAAGTTATAGTCACTCAGAACGACTATAATCGCTAATTTATAGTATACCTAAAAAAATAGATAAATGTCCCTTGAACTCTTTCAGATATTTATTATTATTCAAGCAGCTGATTTTTCCCCCCATAGACTGACTACTGAGAAATTATACAGAGGAATAAAAATTTTGAAGCATCCCAAAAAAGGATCGCTCCATACCCCCTATGTCTTTGTCTATAGGTTGGTCTATAAATTTCAACAACCAGCCTGCTGCTCCTATTTTACTTTCTCGAGGAGAACCAACCCAACACTACAGCTTGAAATTTACAGAAAATATATTCTGCTTAGGTGGAAGAAAAATCAAGGAAGTTCTCAAAAAATTACGGTAACTAGTTTTCCATAAAAAAATAAAGTATAACAGAAATTCGGCAACGTTGCAACAGAGATACGCATTTTCGCACTTTAGCCATCGATATTATTCCGTAGACGACGATATTATTCTGAGAGAACAGTTCTCTGAGATACATCATTGTACAGGGTGTCCCAAAAGTCCGTACCCCCTCGTAACTTTTGAACCGTTAGAGATAGAAAAACGAAACATTCCCAAAGATTCGTTTTTCTATCTCTAACCGTTCAAAAGTTATGAGGGAGGGGGGGAGTACGGGCTTTTAGGACACCCTGTATTAGCCCATATGAGGCTCCATCTACCACTCACCATTAAGAGTCTGATCACCAGAAACCAATAAAACTGAGTGTGAGTCCATCTTAATTCCATTGATCATTCCCTGAACACTCAGTTTGTCGGAGATAGCAATCGAATCCAACCGCAAACCATTTCTGAACAAATTATCTCTTCCTTGATGGACAAGACTTGTGGCCGTGTGTCCGTTGATGGACACCGTGTTAAGATTGAGGGAGACTGCTATGTTTTCAAAGTTGAGAGCGTTATAACTGCCAGGGCTGTCTATGTTAACAGTGTTATCAATAAGGGTATCAAAATCCTCGCCATTTAAATTTGTGATCGATAAAATGTTCAAGTCGCATTCCTCGATGCAGTTTAGCTCAAATTGGTCCAAAAACAAGTCTCCTAAAACAAAATCAAGCATCAGAACTTAAAAATGCGTAATGCGTCGTTTCCCTCACAAAAGAACAAAACGCCCACACTGGAAAAAAAAAAAAAAAAAAAAAAACACATTGGATCTAGAATCCAGACTCTGGAAAACATCGACAAAAAAAATACTCTTGATTCAATCAGATTTAAGCTTAAATTGAGAACCAAGCCTCTTGATTTAAGCGAAATTCGTTTTGATTCAAGCAAAAATCCGACTGAATCAAGAGTATTTTTTCTTGTCAATGTTTTCAAGAGTCTGGACTCTAGATCCAATGTGTTTTTTTTTTTTGTCGCTTGGATCTAGAGTCCAGACTCTAGATCCAAGAATTGACAAGAAAAAATACTCTTGATTCAATTGGACTTTTTGCCTGAATCAATAGGAAATCCGCCTAAATAAAGAGGCTCGGCTCTTCGATTCAAGGAAAAATCGGATTGAATCAAGAGTATTTTTTCTTGTCAATGTTTTTAAGAGTCTGGACTCTAGATCCAAGCGAGTTTTTTTTTCCAGTGCCTTTGCAATTTTGCGAAATTTCCCCTCGTAAATTGCTTATTGACCGAGAAAGTCGTGGTCATTCCTATAACTGAAAATTTCACTGATTCCTCCTCAGATTTCATGTATAAAAATTGTTCGATAAAAATTGCTCATGTACATTTTCGTAATATTAATTAATTGTTTGAGTCAATTTGGCAAACTTGGAATGGAGTTACGTCCTTTCGTCCATGAATTGACGACATACGAAAGCAATGAGTGACACATTTTGGGATTAGATGCAGAGGCGAGAAAAATTGAAGGTGCTCCGGTTTATTCAATGCTCAGGTCTGAATACAACTATTCGTGTTCTCGGGATATCCGTGTTGCATACACGAGAAATTGCAGGGACTCTGATTTTCTTAAACTCCACGTATGACTGCAGCTGTTAATTCTCAAAGATTTTCTACGTTGCATTTACAATCGTGTTCACCATGAAATCCTAGAAGTCCGAATGAGCCGTGTTGTGTTATAGTAGCGTTGCCAAATGGTGCAAATTTTCCACCCAAAACATTTCTATTAAGGCAACGCGGATGTTAATCCCGCAAATTACTACCGATAACATTTCCGCAATGGACCACTAGAAAAGGTACGAATTTCAGCACTCTGATACATGTTTCGTACTGAAAATTTTACGTAGAACACGATGCGCACAACTAAAATTACCGCAATTAACTCCTTACGAAGATATTTAATGATTCTTGGTGAGTGAATTCAAACCACCCGCTCATGAAAACTCAATGCTCTACGTCATTTGCATCGCGCGTCAAACGTTATAATGAACGTCTCTGCGATATAAAAATCTGGCAACCTCAATCTTGACGCTTTGGCTCAGCTATTACAAATAGCTTATAGTTTGAACAACACATGGTGGGAAATGAACATTGATCGATTGAGAAGCTAGCTGAAACCGTCGTAGTGCGCGATTTGATTCACGTAGAGCTTTGAGTTTCTTTTCAGCGGGCAGTTCAAATTCCTCGTAACCAATGTGAAATAAAAACGTTAATATCTTCGTTTGGAGTTTGTTTCATTAGTTTTCGTTGCGCGAATCGTGCTTTACGTAAAATTCTGGTTAGAAATATGTATCAGAATGCTTAAATTCGTACCTTGTCTAGTGGTCCATTGCAGCCACATTTTGTACTTAAAAAAGCGAGAGGGCCTGCGATTTTTGTGTATGCAACACGGATATCCCGTGAACATGAATAGTTGCATCATCCAGACCTAGCTATTGAAAAGCCTGATCGCCTTCAATTTTTTTGATCCCAAAATGTGTCACTCATTGCATTCGTATGTCGTCGGTGCACGAAAATAGGAAGCTTTCAATATTCAATCAAACTGAAATAAAATGTGTAACTAAAATATGGTGTAAAATTTTGCGAGTCACTTTGCGATTTTATATTTTATTCTTTCCTTGTTATTTTTAAAGGTAACTAAATCCACTTCCAAACTTTAATTTAATTTGCTGCACTGGTGTGCGAACTGCAACCAAGCGATGAATTAATAGGGTGTGGTGGATATATACTATAAATTTCAGGATATGCAACTTGAAAAAGTCCTCTTTTTTTCTCAAAGCGGTGCTTTTAAATTTTTCCCAAATGAGGTTAGAAAAAAATACCCGAATTTTTTGAAGACCCCAGTAGAAACTTTGAAAACTTGATTCCCCCTCCCCTTAGTTATTTTTCGACAATTTACATGACTAAAAGACTTCGGTTGTGAAAAGATTCCTATCTTACTCTATTCATGGTTTAAACAAATTTCTTCTTTTTTCTTTTTTTGGGAGGGTGGAAGGGGTTAATCAATAATACACATATCATTCCTTTTTTAGGGTATTTTTCTTAGATTTATGAATTAATCCCTCGATAAACTGTCACCAACATTGAGATTTCAGTACCTAACATAAAAAAGCAGGTGAAAAAGTTAGCCTGTCAAGTCTCACTTACCGTCAACAATAAACTTTCCTCCGCCATTAACCAGTTTGTTTACAAATGTTTCTATAATTTTAAGTTCAGTCAGCTCACTTTCAAGCTCCTCGGTAAACTCCTTCTCTCGCGTATCATTCAATGACTCTCCCTCAGGCTGAAAAATTCCACAAAACATCTTATCTGGTGATCAGTTTACTATCAGAGCGAAAGAAGTTGTTTTTTTGAGGATACTTTCTACTTGATACAGTTATCTTACAGTCTTTGTTTCTTTAATCAGGGCAGAGGAGTTCTCTGAGAGTTGACGGAATTATGTTTCTATTTTCTCATATAAGTTGGACTGCGTTTAACAGAAAGGAACCAAGCCACATCAGCTATTGCCAAATTTAACTGGGAAATTTAATTTATTACGAGAGTTTGTGCTTACTTTTTTGAGAATTTTCAGGAACTCGCTTCGTAGTATGAAGGAAATTCACTGAAATTCGCACGAAAATCCGCACATCCGTTTTCATGTAAAAAATTAAATTGCCCAATTAAATTTGGCAATAGCTGATGTGGCTTGGTTCCTTTCTACTTAGCGCGGTCCAGTTTTGCTGGGCAGATCTTGCAGCCGTCGAGCGAAACCTATACAGAAAAGAAATAAGAAGACCGATCCACTAATGGACCAATAGACCAATACAACTGCTAACAGGTATTGTTGTAAGTTTATATCATAGCCGTCGATTGGTCTTGATGAACACACAGAGAACACACGCAGGGTAGGAGCTCGGAGCAGGGGAGCAGTGGGAGCACAGCTATAATGCTAAAGGAAAAACGTCACATGAGCATTCGAATGTTGCCAACTTTCCTCTCAGAGAATATTCATCTTTGAAGAAAGTAATTTTCAGATAATTTATCAAATTTCAAACCAAATTCCCTAAAAATCGGGGGAAAATGGTTTACAAATTTTTCCAAAAATTTGTGATTTGTCAAAGGAAATTTGGCAAACTCTAAAGGCTCATACGACATTCTTCCTTAACAAGGAAGAGCAATAGTTAAGGGCAATACCTGAATCAAAACTAGTTGATCTCCATGAAGAGCTGAAAGCTCCAATGTTCCATCAATCACAATTTCTGAGGAGTCGACTCGTGGGGCTGAAATCAGTGATTCCTCCAAGTGCTTTAACTGATCAGCAATAGTCTTAAGGTCACGCGTCATCTCTGAGTGCCATTCATCGTACGTTTCGGCAATGCTTTTCAGAATATCAGCGCTGATAAGTCGTATTTGAAATACGTTGGGATGCGTCCCATCGTTACTTCTATCTGTCAAGACTGGAAATTTTACCAAATAATTGAAATGGAGAAACTATGAGGTGGAGAAGGAGAATCCCAAGTAGCAGTGATTGCGATAAATAGCGATTTTATCGGTTGGTTATCGCGATTATATCGGTGGCAATATATCGAGATTTATCGCATTGAAAATTGCGATTTATGGTGATTAAATCGCTATACATCGCAATTTCGTCGATAAAATCGAGATTAAATCGCCGTTCATTTTTATTTCGAAAATATCGCGATCCATTGGCGGGCGATAAAAGCGCGATTTAGATAAGATCGAGGATAATCGCTCAAATGTTGATGATCCTGGCGATTTTATCGCCAATAAAATCGCTATCTATAGCGATTTTTCCGTTGAGAAGTGCTACTTGGGATTTTGCATTTTCAAAGACAGTTTACCAGTTCACGTAGGTCAGTCATTCCCGTGGACGAGTTTTGAGCCCTGGTAAAAATTGGCGATAAGAGCTGCGTTTCGAAATACCATGGGAATTCTTATAGCCGGCTATAGAAGGCTACAGAAAATTATATAGCTGGCTGTAGAATGTGGAGAAAATTATACGACCGGGCTATACGAAGCGATAAAAAATTATGCGACTGGGCTAAAGTTCCTATCGCCGGACTTTACACTTTATCGCCTGGCTGTTGCTTTTTTGCCATCGATTATAAAAGGCTATAAGAAATTGTGTAGAAACTCGTGTGCTTTGGAAATCATTAAGTTTGATACGGAACCACCTTCATATTTACAAAACACACGATATTATCCTTTAATACATATTTTTTTCCATCAATTAAAATGAGAATAATCCATACAGGATGTGCAAAAATTTCAAAATCATGAGTTGAATAACGCTGACTCCGCCAGATTAAATATTAGAGCCTAACACAAAGCGGAGCGGCGACGCACTGGCGCTTACAAACCTAACAGGGATACTTCACGCATTGCGCAACGCATGAAGTATCCCTGTTAGGTTTGTAGGCGCCAATGCGCGTTTCGCGCTAGCTGCCCGCCTGCCGCACCGCAGCGTGCCACGGCGCTTGAAGCAACTATTTCACACCAGAGGTATTGCACAGTATCATACGAAACTGAAGGCGATCTAATACATTAGGAATGGCAGGCATCCATCAAAAGCACGGAGCTTTCCTTGCAAAATAAATCAAGACACTACGGCTCAAAAAGAGCATTGGTCCAAAAACTCACTAAGTCCTAGCATCCGTAATTAGTGACGTTTATAGCATACACTTTATGGCCTGGCTGTGAGTTGCTTAATCGTCATCGGCTATAAAAGGCTATAAGAAATTGTGTGGCCGGCTATAGAAGTTATTGGAAATCTTACAGCCGGCCGTAGGTCTATGGCATTTTGAAAAAACAGATTATACTGCCAATTTTTACCAGGGTAGATCCAACTACTCAAGTTGCATTATTGCGAAAAAATTGCGTAATTTTTAAATTAAGTAGCACCATCGATTCATTGGCTAACTATTGATATTGATCGATGTATAAATGAATTCAGAATCACTTGTAGATATTTCTAAAACTTGGGATATCAGTGTAAACTAGACACTCTATAATGACCTCATCCGAAAAATTGAGTAATTTAAACCTTGTATATCGCAGAGAAATTATGCGTGAGAGACTATTGAATGCTCAATGCCGTTTACGGAAGATCGTTATGTCTCCCACTGATACTTTTTCCGCCATCGTAAGTTTGAAGACGTTATTTTCCATATGTAGTAACGATTTAAAATTCTACTCCAACTATTTTCAGTTGCAGAATTGTATTGTCAACTTCCCCTACTACAAGGGATCCTTCACTTTTCAGGAAATTGCTGAAAATGGGGACTATGGTCCTGAATTGCAATCTATTAGTATACTAACTTAAGGTAAGAAACTTTCCAGACTACTTGTTTTTAATGAGAAAGCAAAGAGCACGGAGATCTTTTTCAATTATTGGAGAGAAAACAATGACTACTAACCTAAAGCTTCTGTCCCATTCATCGTACATTTAGAGATATGACTGATAACGGCGGTCTCCAAAAAACAGTCCGTTTTTGAAAATTTACGCCCATCATACTCAAAAAGGTGAATCCCAGAGTACCTCGTTGCTGCAAGTAAAATTGACTCGCCGGCAGATCCATACATCATCCACTGTTGGACGTAATCCAAGCTAATCGTTTGGAAAGGATAAAAGTACTCGTTGTGAAGTTTGTAAATTCTTGAAATGGGACTATTTTCCTGATCACCATGGAGGCCAGTGATCACTAAGAACTGCTCTGGTTTTGAAAAGTCTGATGATGCGTATTCGAAGTATTCTATATTCGAACAGTTCGACATTGACAGCAATTGATGAACCTCGAAAGATTGCAATTCCTCATTGAACTTGAACAAAGTTGTGTGATTTCCAGCACCTACACATGAAGAGCAAATAACAAAAAGCTTCTGTTATCTTTTACTTTTGGTTCTTCTTTCATCAAAAAGTAGTACATAATTATGTTGAAGATTAAACGTGGATGAACTCAACAGAGCAATATTATTCTGTTATAGTTTACTTATCACTATGGAAAAAAAAACACATTGGATCTAGAGTCCAGACTCTTGAAAACATTGACAAGAAAAAATACTCTTGATTCAATCGGATTTTTGCGTAAATCAAAAGGAAATCCGCTCAAATTAAGAGGCTTGGTTCTTGATTTTAGCAAAAATCCGATTGAATCAAGAGTAATTTTTTCTGTCGATGTTTTCTGGAGTCTGGACTCTAGATCCAATGTGTTTTTTTCCGGTGTAATTGTTGCTTTGTTAATTTAAAGCTGGTATGTGAGGTACATTCGTACATCATCGACTGTTTCAGTGAATGCATGCGGAAGACGACGATAAATTATTATATCGCTTTTGACTCAGAATGAAAATTATCAACTTCTGCATTTGCCATTCATGAACTTTCAAAATCTATTATTTTAGTGATCTTCAAAACTTGTATCATGAAAGTTGTGAGCAAAATGTGCTTGAAAAGGCGTTATTAAAGTTTGATGTGAAAGAAATAAAAAAAAGAGACTTTAGGCACGTACCTAATTTATCGGATGCATCCCATCGATGGCAAACTGCCAGGAAAACAGATGAGTTAAGAAGAAATGATTTTATGGTGGTGGCGCAATGCATTGGAATGAGGTCAAATAGAGCAAAACTACTGTAGTCCCATTGATAGATGTGCAAACTACAGGAGGATCGATCATGATTATCACCTGAGAGTATGCCAAGGAAAATATTGTTGCCGTTTGGTTCATCCCTAAAATGTAAACATCAATGGAATAATATATTACGATCTTTTCATAGCTTTTGAAATTCATTGCACCCTCTCCCTGATTTCAGGGGGATGAATTGCATTGATGTTTTTTATCTGCGACGCAACATAGTTGCTCGCTTTACATCCCGCGCGGCCGAAAGGGGTTGTGAAAAAATCGTCACAACGTTACTGCCAAAACTAAGGTTGCAACAGTGTTTAGGGTTGCAACAATTCGATGACGTTGTTTCAGGCAGTTCTCGGGTGGGATGGTCCTGGTCCTAGGTTAGGATCTCACCATGAGGGAGGAATCAATTGTGTACCTCCTGCAGGAAATACTCTAAACATTTTATTACTCAGTTTGAGTGGAGTATATGTACTGAAAAAAAAACAAATAGTTATGGTCATAGGGCTCCTGCACTTTCTTTGTTACAGCAACAGTAGTTTCATGAAGACAGAGTACTCCGTGCTCACGATCGACGTTTTGTTCTCGCGCAACAAACAGTTCTGTAAGTATAACAGAGAAACTGCAGGAGCATCGCGAAAAGAAAATTCTGTCATCGACTAGTTTTTTGCCTGTATGTATTAAGAGGATCTGAACAACTGGGCTCATCTTTTTATTAATCCACCTAAAATGATTCGAAGTTGCTGTTAATGATGAAAGGTGAGCAAGGGATTAAACATTTAAATTTATTATCTCATTTACATCAGAGAAATTAAAAATGGACCGAACCAGTTTCATCTTCAGCGATAACCTAGACTAGAAAAATGTATAGGTACCTAAGAATGTATGAGGGCAGTGGAAGTTCGGAGTCGAAGAGCGCGAGGGAGTGCTATAAAGCGACTTATATCGTCACCTTCCAGGCAAAGTATCACAAGCGCCATGCGGCGTTTAAAAATTTCCGCCTCCATTACATTTTTTTACAGAGAAATTGTTCAACGAAGCTGTCCGAAAATTACACCGAATTTTCTTTGTGCTGCCGATAAAATTTAGTGAAATTTTCGAACAGATTCAACCAACAATTTCTCAGTAAAAAAATAAAATGGCGGCAGAAATTTTTAAACGTCGCATGGCGCTTGTGTTACTTTGCCTGGAAGGTGACGATATATACCTACAAAGAACTTTCGTTCAGGTTTTTTGTGAATGTAAGTATCTTACCAAACTGTAAGAAAATGAATTTTTCCCACGCTGGAGGTCTGGCTCAAAAAGAATCTCGAGTCAATAATTGAATACATGTTCATTTGTGGCTCCTCATTGAAATCTTTTGTCAACAGAAAAATGAAGACAGCCCCGTCAATATCTTTTATTTCTAATTGGGTGCATGTTTTGACTGGTACCGAATCTCTTGTAATCCATGACTCGCTGGTTTCCTGTAAGTAAAGTTACAAGAAATCAGCATCAATACTTCCTTGAAATTAAGGAACGAAATAAAAAAATGTTCAACAGCACACAAAAAATACCCTTATTCACCCCACGAAAAACGAATAAATTGAAAAAAAAAAAAAACACACGGTAAGTTCCTTCGTTCCTCTGATCAGCCCTTTTTCTTTTGGCATTTCAAGTAAAGTAACCAATATATACCTATTCTTAACTCTCTAAAAATATTTCTTTAACAATTACTTAAATTTTAAATTTCAAGATAGTTTATTCCTTGCAATCCGCCACTCACCTCAGAGCAAACCCATCAAAACCTAAAAAAAGGTACCTATTAGAAATTTCATTGAGCATTGTGTTTATAGACTTCAATAACTTTCTATGCACACAGGGCCGGATATACCTACTTGCCGCCCATGGGCCGCCTGTATTTTGCCGCCACCTTCTCATTCGTATTGAAACATCAATAAAAACCATCAAGTGAATGTGCCAGCGGGGGAGGGGTGCATAAGACGCCTTTACTCGTGTTGAACTTATTTTTTGGGGATGCCCTGTCAACACTACTAGCAAAAGTTAAGTTTTGTAAACCCATCTCTGTGCGGACAAGGCCTTCCATTCATAAGAAATGAACGAACAAATTATGAAAGAACAAATGAATCGAGGTATGCGAAAACGTCCGATGTCCAAAACATCAACTTTTGGTAAACCGCAAAAAACTGTGGAGGCCTTTAGAATCGGCGTTTTGAAGAAAATCAAGGCATGTGTTTCTTAGTAAAGGGTCGTAGAAGAGGCACACAAATGTGTCCCATTCCAACTCCCATTCAGTGCTGAGTAATTTTAAAAAAAGGGCTTTGGACATCGGACGTTTTCGCATACATTGCAAAAATCTGCCCAAAAACCATTATTTTTGACCCCTCCAAAAACCTTTAAACTAGAGTAAAACATAGTGTCAGACCTCTAGTAACACAAAAAAAAATATTTCTCTTTTCTTCGAGGCTTCAGTGAAAGTTACGTGACGGCGGAAGAAGAAAAATAATGGACATCGGACGTTTTCGCATACTTTGAGATTGCCCCTCAAGATATGTGTTCAGGATTGCCTAGAATGCATGAAATCGATTAGAATAATATTAAGTAGGGTGAAATTATTCATCTTCAGAGGGTCCTGAACGAGAATCCACATTTGCCCCCTCGATAAATCATGGGAACCCCCCCGAAAACCCCCAACATCAAAAAAACAGTCAGAAATTGGTTATTTTCTCTCGTTGTTCTGCTACTAGCGCACGTTTTGAGAGCAGAAATTTTTTTCTCATATAATTTCTCATCTATAGGGAGTTCTTAACGAGAATCCAAATTTTCCCCCTCGACCAATCATGGGGACCCCCCTGAAAACCCCTCCTTAATCGAAACAACTGTCAAAAATCGGTTATTTTCTCTCGTTTTTCGGCTACCATCGCATGTTTTGGGAGCAGAACTTTTTTTCTCATTTAATTTCTCATCTATAGGGGGACCTTAACGAGAATCCAAAATTGCCCCCTCGAACAATCATGGGGACCCCTCCAAGCCCCCCCCCCCCGATAAAAAAACGGTCAAAAATAGGTTATTCTCTCGTTTTACGGCTATTATCGCCAAAGCCGTTGATTTTAAGACAGAGTTTGTTGATCTCACATGAAAGCAGATAAAATTCGGTCTTATTTAACCCGGTTTCAAATTTTTCTGATGAAAATTGCGGTCACTACAGGCGCAGTGGCGGTTATGAATTTAAGGCCTGCGCAGCCGCGACACGTAAGAGGCGATGGAGTATCTGTGTGAGGGTGTGTGGGTGTCTGTGTTGGGGGGGGGTATGGAATCCCCAGGGACTAGGTGAGTCCGACGGATCTCCCTTGGAAACTTTTGGAAAATTAAGACACTTCAGATCCCAATTTTGTCAATTTCGAGGGGGGAAGGGGGGGTTGGAAGTAAAAATAATGGAGTGGAAAAAAGTACGAGGGTCATCCAATGAGGTTCCCTACCTCTTATCTTCCAAACGGAAAGAGATAAATCAAATCGGTAAAGGAGTTCTTATAAGGCATACTCTAGGCTTTAAAAGAAGCTCAAGTTTTTGAAAATTGGTCGAGGGGTTCGCGAGGAAACTTAATTTTACTGCGACAACTTCCTGTCGCCGCAAGCCCACCTTCGGAGTCTGGATGCGCGAAGAGTCGATAATTTCAGACTTGGCTTTTTGCCGCTAAGCATCATATCAAAAAGAAATTTGAAGGTTTTTATTGAGTAGACCTTACATTACTTTTCGACGAAGTCCCTGCCTCTGTTTTGACATTTCTGGTATCAATATTGCAGCTTCTTGATGCCTTCCGCGTAGAGGCTGGCTCTTGTCTTGGCACCGAAACCAGTCATTGACAAGCCCTCTACACTTCCGAATCAGTTGCTTTGCATAAGAAAATTTCCCTCCATCTTCCGTACTCTTACGATTCAGCCTCATGTGACTTTCGTCTGTTCACTGAGCTGAAAAACTTCCTCGGTGGAAAGCGGAATCCGGATGATTCGGAAGTACAGAGCGCTGTCAATGACAGATTCCGGTGCCAAGACAAGAGCCAGCCTCTACGCGGAAGGCATCAAGAAGCTGCAATATTGACACCAGAAATGTCAAAACAGAGGCGGAGACTTAGTCGAAAAGTAATGTAAGGTCTACTCAATAAAAACCTTCAAATTTCTTTTTGATATGATGCTTAGCGGCAAAAACCCAAGTCTGAAATAATCGACTCTCCGCGCATCCAGACTTCGAAGGTGGGCTTGCGGCGACAGGAAGTTGTCGCAGTAAAATTAAGTTTCCTCGCGAACCCCTCGACCAATTTTCAAAAACTTGAGCTTCTTTTAAAGCCTAGAGTATGCCTTATAAGAACTCCTTTACCGATTTGATTTATCTCTTTCCGTTTGGAAGATAAGAGGTAGGGAACCTCATTGGATGACCCTCGTAAATGGACATCGGACGTTTTCGCATACTTTTGAGGTTCGACCCCCTAAATGGGGGCGAAAAAACAAAAAACAGGTCAAATCCGTCTACACATAGATGCGCCTACCCTCGAAGATGACGTTAAGCCAAAAAACTCAAAATCCAAAAAAATGGACATCGGACGTTTTCGCATACCTCGATTCAAATATGAATGTGGTTTAATGATTTTAACTTCCGCCGCCGCGCCGCGCAGACCTCACCGTGTTTGGCGCAATGCGTGAAGTATTCACGCAGTCTTGTAGGCGCCATGCGTTTCACGCTGATCGTAATGACCGCACTGTGTTTGATGCAATGCGTGAAGTATTTATGCAGTCTTATAGGCGCTGATATGTGTTATATGTAAATGCCGATCGCCGCGCCGATGGCTTCTCCTTTTCATCTCAAGTCCTCGTCAACGTTTCTCTCTGCGCCGCGCCGTTCCAGGCCAAATTGCGTGTTTGGTTTTTCTCTTAACTTGACTAATTAAAGGTGCTGTCTCTTGTATCACTGCAAGACGACAAAATTAAAAATTACTACACTCTCAGGAAATGAGAGATTTTGTCGCCTTTTCTCGTTTGTAATTTTTTTTTCTAAATCCGATATTTTTTTATACCTACATTTAAAAAAATTGCAAAATTTGCCACCCTCTAGATTTGCCGCCATGGGCCGCGGCCCATGTGGCCACCCCCTTAATCCGGACCTGTATGCATATAAATTATAGAAGATACGTCTCTCAAATTCCAAAATTATTACTAGTGAATTACTCGAGATCAATCATGCAAAGCATAAAAAGATCCATTGTACATACATATCGACGGTGTAAGTCGGCAATCACACAACTCGGTTTGGGACGCAGACTTTCTGTCATACTTTATTACTTACAACAGAAAACAACTCAACGGCAATTCTTTAAAACTGTCGTGATTTTACTTCTCTGTGCGACGAAAATTCTGCAAAAACTTCAAGGAATGATGTCAATTTTTTCTCCTTTAAAAGAATAACATCGAGGCGGAGATGTGACACCGCAAACCAGATATGTGATTGCGGACTTACGCCATCGATATATATGTTCATTAAATAAATTCGACAGTTGTTTGGTTTCTTGCTTGATTTAATTTCACATACATTGAGGACTGTAAGACTTTACGGTGGATCAGCAAAATACTACTTACATCATACTCGCGCAAGACCATTAACATTAAATCTGTGTTTTGCGGATCGTCATTCGCTTGAAGACATATCGACCAGATAGTGGGACTATGAAGCAGGGTAAATAAATACATAACTGTAGGGAATGCTGCAGGAATTGTCATTATGTCCTGGATGGATTCGATGAATGATTCTGTAGCAGAATAAAAATTTAGTAATGCAAGTGTCAAGTAGAGAGTGAAGGTAACAGCAGTTAAAAGGCGATGTAAATACTTAATAAAACGATTTCGGGACCACTCGCCCCACAAAATAATCACCCACAGTATAATTCGCGCACCCACGCTACTTTGCTAAGAAAAAACGCTGTATGAGCCTTTAGGCGTTGCCATATTCCCCTCAATAAACACCGAATTTCTTGGAACTTTTTTGAATTTTTTGCTTCAAATTTTTCAGACGATTTTGTTCGCAATTTGATCTAAAATACCTGAAAATTTCAAGGGAAAATATGGGTAACTTTCCTAAAAAATACATTATTAATCTGGGTAAATTTGGCAACTATCGAATGTTCATACGGCGTTTTTCCTTAGCACGGCAGCATGACTCTTGACTCATTTCATTTAGGCCCCCACCAAAGACATAAAGACGGAGGGCTAAAAGCAAAAAATGAAGCTTCTTTTCAACCACCTCTACTATTGGCTAGAGGATTGGCGGCGAAATCGGGACAAGTTTGAATTCAAATGTAGGGCGGGAACTGAATAAAATAATTGCGGAAACAAAGTATTCTAGGTTGATTTTTGCCCAAATTCACTTACCCACTCATATTTCTTTAACTTTAGGTTAGCTTTGGTCCGTCGTCGACCGATTAATTTCATTTGGGAGTGACGGTCATCTAGAACTGTAACGACCTGTTTGAACCTGCAGAACCACCATGAGCAGAAGAAAAACTAACTTTATCTGAGATTACTGCCTATTACCAAGCAAGAATAGGTGTAATATAATAGGACGCAGTCCCAACTTTCTTAATATATTCGTTTTAGGCATTTAAAATACGTTTCGAAGAAGAAATATGGAAAAATTAAGAGGACAAGTTCAAATCAAACTTCCGTTTGCCGCCATGGATTCCCGCGCTCATTTACACACTCACACAAGCACCCAGCGCCAAACCAGGCTTCACTTTTTCCCCGTGCTTTTAGATACGAGCACTCCGTCTTTATGTCTTTGGCCCCCACGCATTATTGCAAACATGACTTTTTGGAAAGCGGAAGTTTTCACCGGCATGTATTTTACGTTACCCCCGAAAGTCGTAGGGGAGTTCGAGTTATGGGATGAGGGTGAAAATGATTTCTAAGTATAGTTTCCAGCCATTCAGACGTATGCGCGAAAATTTTTCCCTCCTTGAATATTACTGAATATTTAAGGAAATTGCGTGTGCCGTAATCAATCTGGACATAGGTTTTATGTTATGACCTCCCCCCTCCCTCCTTGAAACACGCTCGAGTAGGACAAGAGCGCAAATTTAAAAAATCCCGCCAAACTATGTAAACGGCAAAGCCCAATCAGAGCCGGTCTTTGCTAACCAATCACCAGCTACATCCACATAACCTCCAACCTCAAACTTATATTTACATTTCACCAAAATGCCTAAAACTGATAACGCCACATCTCCAGAATGCCGTAATGAGAAGTTGTAAGAAGGTAAAATTTACTCTCTATTTTAATTATCCTGTTACTATTCCACGTTTCAAATTTAATTATCATTTCAGTCTCAGGACAAGCGATTTCCAATAACATTCTCACACACATTTTTACCTCCCAATGCTCTCTAAGTCCTTGATCAGAACCACCTCAAGTTCTGCGTGTTTTCTTGAAAGGTGAGACTCCATAAAGGAACTGATCTTTCAAAAATAGTTGTTCTCTAATTGTACACGATTTTAGTGGTGTATTAGACTCCAATTAGTTAATCTCTGTTCTGATTTGCAGGTAGCTCACCATGCATTCCGACTCTCAACCCAGAAGCAGGGGATTATCTCCAGAGCGTTGCAAGCAGCAAGTTGCGTCGGCTGGTAAAGACAAAATTCGAGAAATGCTACTAATTCAATTAGAGGAACTGGAGATGCTGACCTCAATGTTTCCCAACTCAGGTGAATTAACCGTCACAGACCAATCTGTGATCGCTGACATCAATCAATTTGTAGAATGTAAATCATCCACAGTTCCTCTACATCTGGAGTACATAATTAATTTAAATTTAGATGATCTCAAGCTTGAGCTGTGTGCTAATTTGCCAAGCTTTTACCCAGAGACTGAACCTAGTGTTTTCGTTCGTAGTGACCAATTGAATAGGACTCATCAAACCCGATTGAATTCGGATGTCAAGGACTACGTAGCATCTCTAGAGAGAGGTGAGATTTGCATTTGCTCAATTGTGATATGGCTACAAGAAAATGCAGCCAATTATCACCAGAAGATCGCTTCCCCAAAGAAAGACAACTTGAAAGAGAGTAGGGAATCGTTTTCTCGGCTGTGGATATACTCGCATCATATTTACAACAAGACGAAGCGGAAAGAAATATTAGAGCAAGCACTTGATCGCAATCTCAGTGGCTTTTGTCTGCCCGGAAAGCCGGGGATTATCTGTGTGGAAGGACCATCATCAGGCTGCAGTGAGTGGTGGCAAACGGTAAGACATTAAATCCGTCCAAATGCGTATTAAGTTTGAATGAGCTATTTTTACAATCATGTTGCATTGTAGATATGGCTTGGAATGATTCAGTACCTCAAGCATGATGACCAAGTTGTAGGAGGCATAATATATCGACGGTGAAACTACCAGACCACGTATCTCGTTTGCGGTGTTTAAAAATCTCCGCTCTCATTTTATTTTTTTTAAGAAGAATGATTCAATATTATTACTTGAAATTTTCACAGAATTTTCTTCGCACTGAGAGGAAAAATTACAGAAGTTTTCAAGAATCAACATTGAGAAGTTTCCTCTTTAAAAAACAAAGTATGACAGGAAGTTTGCGACGCCGCAAACGGAAATACGTGGTTTGGTAGTTTCCCAGTCGATATGTCTTGATAGCTGAAACATAATGTCGCCCTGCTGACAAAAAGGAACGAATACTTATTCAGGTAGGACTAGAAAAGCATTTAATTGTATGGGTGTTTGATTGCAGAGCACAGTTACGCCACCAATACAGAGAGTATGGAAGGTTAGAGGTCCGATTTAATGCTAAGAAATTGAAACAGAGGTGCTTGCTGGCAACGTACGCAACTACTATTTTCTATTGTTTTCCAGTGACTGGTGGCAAGTATGTTGCTGCTGGACCACCTCCATGTAGGCAATTTTTCATACATCGTCTGTTAGCAACTCTTGCCTGGCCAATTAGCGCAGTAATATGGGGAATCTGGCTGGCCTTGAACTCTCGCGCCAGCGTATGCAACTTCTTGCTCACGGCTCAACTTCTGTTTCAATTCCTTCCTATCCAGTCGGGCCTCTGACCTTGCATACTCTCTGCCCTAATGTTGGGAGGGCAACAATAAGACCAGAGTAGAATAGCACAACAAGTTTAAATTCAGGGTTGCTACGGTCAGGGAATTCAGGGAAAACCTGGAAAAGTCAGGGGAAAAAAAGTGCTCTAGAAAACTTGGAAAAGTCAGGGAATTTCACCAAAAACAGCTAAAAGTCAGGGAAAAATTGGCAAATTTCACGAGTTGCTTTAAATCTTTCTTTTTTCGGTTTTGAACGAAGAAATTTCAACTACCACCGATGTCTAGGATTATTGCAAATGTAAAGCATCAAAGTTCTTGAAATAATAAACCATTTGAAGCTCACTTTAAAAATAGGTGTATCCTGGGAAGGGGAAGATAAATAGAGAAACGAACACCAGGGAAGACCCTTTTTTTTTTTTTTTAGAGTGTTTCTTCAAAAGAACAAGCGTTCAAAAGTTTTCATTTCTTAAACAATTATTGGGTTGCTCAAGAAAGTCCAAAGCATCAAAATTAAAAGAAAAAGTTAACCACCCTTTTTGTATTTCCAAATGTTCTACAATTAATTTCTGACTCCTTAGCTTATTATTAGCACATATTAGTGCGATGGTAGCTAGACTCCCTTCTAATTTTCAACATATAAAGGAAAAGTAACTATCCTAATAGCTACGATTTAGAATCAGGGACCGTAGTTTTTTTTCGGTAAAATGACATTAAGGAAAATAGGACTAAATAAAATATCGCGACGAAATTCCCCGTGATTTCAATTATAATCGTTCGTAAAATTATTGTTAATTTTTCAGAGAATCTGTGCGTATCTTTTAAAAAATATAAATTGCACATATAAATTGGACAGTGGTTTTTTTCGGAAAAACTAAAAGGGAAAATAAGACTAAATAAAATATCGCGACGAAATTTCCCGTGATTTCAATTATAATCGTTCACAAAATTATTGTTAATTTTTCAGAAAATCTGTGCGTATCTTTTAAAAAATATTAATTGAAATTGAAGCATTAAATGCGGTTTGCAACGTTGCAATCGAGGTATATAAGCTCCATTTCCCGTGGAATGAACCATCGATATTTGAGTTCCTTTACGGCAGGCGTAACATACAACTATTTGACCACGGGTGTACGCATGTTGCAGCTCCGCCGGATTGAAGGCGCGTCAAACTGCGAAGATGTCTTGACTCTTCACCGCCCTGCCGACCCACGCGAGCGGGACGAACGCTAAAATCGCTGCGACACTTATCCAACGCGTCATTATTTATGACTCCTTTCTAATTTTCAACATATAAAGGAAAAGTAACTATCCTAATAGCTACGATTTAGAATCAGGGACCGTGGTTTTTTTTCGGTAAAATGAAATTCAGGAAAATAGGACTGAATAAAATATCGCGACGAAATTTCCCGTGATTTTAATTACAGGGTTGCCACGGTCAGGGAATTCAGGTAAAACCTGGAAAAGTCAAGGGAAAAAAAAGTGCTCTGTAAAACCTGGAATAGTCAGGGAATTTGACCAAAAACAGATCAAAGTCAGGGAAAAATTGGCAATTTTCACGAGTTGCCTAAAATCTTTCTTTTTTCGGTTTTGAACGAAGAAATATCAACTACTACCGATGTCTAACCACTGACCGTTTAATTTTCTTCTTTAAAGTTATTCAAGTGTCTAGGACCATTGCAAACGCAAAGCATCAAAGTTCTTGAAAAAACAAACCATTTGAAGCTCACTTTAAAAATAGGTGTTTGAAATATCCTGGGAAGGGAAATGAAATATCCTGGGAAGGGAAAGATAAATAGAGAAACGAACACCAGGGAAGACCCTTTTTTTTAGAGTGTTTCTTCAAAAGAACAAGCGTTCAAAAGTTTTCATTTCTTAAACAATTATTGGGTTGCTCAAGAAAGCCCAAAGCATCAAAATCAAAAGAAAAAGTTAACAACCCTTTTTGTATTTCCAAATGTTCTACAATTAATTTCTGACTCCTTAGCTTAAGCACGTTTCAAATCAGACGCTATATTAGTGCGATGGCGGCTAGCAAGGTGTAAATTTGGGTGTGCGATCATGGCGCGCGTTCCCAAAGGTCAGGGAATTTCTCAATTTTTCGTCAGGGAAAACCTGGGAAAGTCAGGGAAAATCATTTCCAAATTTTTGTGGCAACCCTGTAAATTCCATTGTTGCATGTTCAATATAAACGGCATAACCCTCTTAGTCAAATATCTTAACTAACACCATCCTCTGACAAAAAAACACACCAATGCCTCTTCTATCTTACATGTACTAGTTAGAAATGCACAAAATTGCACAAGTTGTTCTATAGGAGTGGATATTTTGAATTCGAGACACTGAGCCGCAGCTTTTTCCAGCACATTCATTTATTAAACTCAAAGCTGTCAAAAATTAAAGTAAAAAGTTTTGTAGTTAAACCATCATCAGTTTTCAGTATCCTTCCATTGAACACCTGCTCTGTGCCTCTTTTGTTTTCAATGAAGGCCCTTACCTTTACATAATTTGTGACTGGAGATAAAATATTTTTCATTGCTCTCATTTCAGATCAGAAATATGACATGGCAGAGAATTATGTGCAAAAAGGTGGAGGAAGAAGTTATCGGGTCATGGCAAGACTTGGACTCTCATCGGAAATTCGGAAAATTTCAGGAGGTATCATTTGTCAATGAGAACGCAACAAGCAAAGATCAAGGCAAGCACATGAACATGGGTGACTTCTATCGCTACTTGCAAGAACACGACTGCGGAGAAGTTTTCAAGGATTACTTCGGCATTGATGGCAGATCTGGAGACGCATAGTTGAATAATAATGCTCCGTGTCAAGAATGAAAGACAAGTAAACATCAATTTATCCATTTTCAACTATTTTCTTCTGAGTTCTGTTTAGATGAAGCTGGAAAATGTTTGAATGTTTTTTAAATGGGGGCCATGTGAACGTGAGAGTCACTCAAGATCTAGCCAAAAAATGAGTTAGTTGCTGTCCTATGTAACGTTAAACTGAGTAGTTGACTTTTTGGCTTGTAAGTTTTGGACTTTTATGTTGAGCATTTCGAACTTTCCTGAATTTTCGAATTAATTGCCGAAAAAAAAAATCCACTTTTTTTTATTTTCCTTGTTCCAAAAGTTTTGTAGAAGCAGCTTTATAATAGTCACACCAATACGTATCAATATGGTTTGTGTTCATTAGACTCTCTTTCTTGGTCAAATTATCACCTGAAATACTCTTTGAATGTTTGGCCGATATATTTCCTTCGCAAATATTTTCATTCAGGACAGAAGTAAGGAGATAAATGCACTAAGAAAAAGTGATGCTAAAAGTTCGTTTTTCTGAAAGTTGTCAAGGAAATGTTACTGATCTTGGCGCTTTGGTTCTAACCAGTGTAAAATAAAAACAATATTTTAGTAAGGGGTTGATTTCAGGAATTTTCGTTGCGAGAATCGTGGTACACATGAAATTTTGATGAAAGGAACATGTATTAGAATGTCCAAATTCGTATTTCGTCTACCAGTTCATTATTCCTAAATTTTTCAGAATTTCCCAAAATTTTGAGATTTAGGGAATTTTCAGAAAATTTCGGGTTTCCCCGAGATTCTGAGGATTTTTACTAAAAATTTCAACCTGGGAGGGCAAAGAAAAAAATTTAGAAGTATCGAAACTAAAACAATAAATTCACAATAGTAACCAGAAAAAAAAAATTACTTAAATAATGCCCACAGGATTCTATTTGGACTAGTTTACACAAACAGTTATGTACTGTTTAATTTGTAACACCTTCTCCTTTGAGAGACGTCTGTAACGATTAGTACAAGGAAATGCTCAAATGTTTTTGCAAGTAATTCGAAGAGAGTAAATTTAACTTTTAGAAGGGCATAATATAATTGTAATAGCTCTGTGAGCAGCTAGTTAATTCTCGAGCCATAAAATAATGAATGAAATGAAGTTGTATTTTGCATCTATGTAAAATTAATTTAAAAAATTATTTTAATAATTATGCTGTGTGGGCAGAGGCCCAAAATAAAATAAAAATGAGAAAAGAAATTCCAGGGGGAAATTGTCGTGACGCGTAAAATTTCCCATTTGTCCGTAGTTTAACATTAAATGAATAATTGAGTCAAAGAAAAAGTTCTTCCCCGAATTTGGGGCTCCAAACAAAACAAACAAAGTATTACATTTTGGTCTTATCTTATCGAGTATGTCATGAATATCTTGTAAAAAGCTCCCCATATTAACGAATCTCACTTGATGGGTTAACAATATTCTAAAGCAATTTCGTAAGATTTTTGTCCATTAAAATAATAGTCACATGGGTTGTCAGACGCGAAAAGCATTTTTTCGCAATTAATTCTATGAACATGATTAAAAATTTCAACAATGGACATTCTGGAAATGTATTGCGCCAATTTTAACGCCCGTCATAAACTCTTCTGATCATTGGGCATCCAACGGTAACTAGATTCTAACCATGAATGCGAATCAGAAAACCTTGCAAGTGGAGTTACCGCAGTGGACATCACCATCCTCAGTATTTGCTCCCCCTTGTGCCTTGTTTGCTGCTGTCGGGCGGGTTGTATCGCGTTGTTTTCATCTTCGTTCCTTCCATTTGGTCCAACTGACGCGCTTTCCTGTCCTATATGACCGCGTTTGTCTGAGACTCGCCAATCTTTGGACTTTATTCAGTTTCTCTCTGTGTTTCTTTGCGAAACCGGGGTACCATACAGGTGCTGCATACTAAAGAACTTGGTTTATCACGGTGGAGTAAAGTTTTCGCTTTCTCTCCTTAGGACCCTTCAAGTTGCGTGTGTAGTTTGCGTTCTACTTTTTTCGCCATCTTGATGGCTCCTCTTTTTTCGGCCCGCGTAGCCACCTCGTTCAGTTTTATTCTGGCGACTTCTTCTTCCAGGCTCACCGCCTCCTCTGCTAGCAGATCTGCAGGTGGGTTTCCGGCTAGAGCTCCAGCACTGTTCCCGCTGACTGTAATATATGACTGCGTTTGTCTAAGGTTCGCCAATCTTTGGACTTTATTCAGTTTCTCCCTGTGTTTCTTTGCCCAACCGGGGTACCATATAGGTGCTGCATAAAGGAGAACTTGATTTATCACGGTGGAGTAAAGGTTTCGCTTTCTCTCCTTAGGGCCCTTCAAATTGCGTGTGATGCCCGTCAGCTTTCCACATAACTGTTTCGCTTTTTGGGTCGCATACTCAACGTGTTGTCCAAATGATAGTTTGTCATCGACCATGACCCCTAGGTACTTGATGGTCGTACTGAAGCTGACTTGTACGCCTGCTACTCTGACGTTAAGTTGGTCACTCTTCACCTCCCTCTTTGGGCTGATAAATAGAGCTTGCGTTTTTTTCTCCTGGAAACGTGCAACCCAGCCTCTCGACCTTGGCCTCTACTTCTCGTATCAGGGCATTACAGGTGTCCTCTAGCTCGTACTGAAGCCGGGGCCCGTAAGCCACAGATGAGATAGATGAAAGAAAAGTGTAGGTAAGTATGAACACGAGTCGGTTTAAGGTTCAATAGCGGAGCAAGGACCTTGAAGCACATGACTAAAGACGAATTATAATCTAAAATACACTAGATGGGGCCGAAGCCCCACCTTTTTAAAATGATGATGAAAACTTACATCACGTATCTCTAGGAGACGGCAAAAGACTGAATGGCGGCCGGGCCCCCCACTCCCCAGGCAATGCCAATTGCCCTCTCCCCACTGGCCGACAGCCCGTAGAGAGAGTGGTCCCTGGGACCAGAAGGACCAAACCGCGCGTTATTCAAATTATAAGTCGGGAGACCGGGTTACAGGGTTATCGGTCTAAATTTGGTCGAAGCTGGTTTCGGCAGGAGAGCCAGCGTTCCTATCTTCCACTGGTCCGGGAAAGATTTCTCTTCTAGGCACTGTCGAGGTTGTTTTGAAAATACCGAGTGAAAAGTGGAGCACGGATCAAGATTATGAAATTTATTGTTGAATTACATTCTTGTTGGAGATGGCTTGGCATGCTTTACTCGACTGACTAACTGCGCACTGCAAGTCCGACGGATGCGGTTCCAAAATGCTGCGCTTGCATTGCAGCTCAATGTTGCGCGATTGGCGTGAATGAATTGCATTACTAGTTCCGTCAGGCACATGTTGTATAGCTCCAGCAAATTTTCGGGTCAACCTAACCTAACCTAACCTAACCTGACCTGACCTAACCAAACCTAACCTAACCATTGGTGATATGGCATCATTCCACTACAACATAGCACTTCAAATCAATTCGAATCCAAATCTCGGAGGACTGATGTACTTTCTCCTGGTTAATCTGCGCATTGATTTGCGAGTACCAGTGGTTTGAATGTCAGTGGAGAAAGAGAATCTGTCGAATTCGCTTCATATGGACGCGAAATAAACGGCAGGGCACTACCAGAATACAGAATCCGTAAAGTCACGTACTCATCCCGTTCAGGACGTTTTCTGTGCTGCTCTTTCTTCCTACGGCAACTTTCTCAATGAAGCCCCCAAAATATCGTTTCAGTTCGTTTCCGGTAAAACCCACGATGTCAGAATATTCGGGGTCCGTCGGAAGATCAATTGCGGCATTCGCCCCTNTCCACATAAAACGATTTTTTTTCTCTGCGGAGGAAGTTTTTTGTGCTCATGGACATCGACGACATATTCACGAAAAACGGAACAGAGCACTTCGCGTTCCTTGCCGGAGAGAATTCCTTCCCAATACAAGGGATGGATTCACTTTAAATAATTCAGATAAAACGGATCGTACCCTCAGTAGTTTCGATGTAAAAGCCCCTTTTACTGTCCCTCCCCTTTCACTCTAGCCTGTGATGTCTCGGAAAATGTTTTCAGTTCAGCCTAGAAAATTCAGAATTTATTGATTGCACCCTGTGGAGTCCTTTTAAGTACCCTCAAGCCGTTCTTGAGGCGAACCACATAGCGGAATATGTCCTCTCCGGCACAGTTTTGCGAGTTCATTTCGTCGTTCCTCTGGCGTCAGGAACGTTAGGTCGTATCTCGATCACCACATGAGCCCCAGAAAGCATGAATTTAAAACGGGGTTTGCGTAGGAACTGAAATATGCCCTTACGTTTGAGGGACGACGATATGGACTCATGGATAGTTGTGGTGCCTTACCACTATTGCATTCTACGACCAAGTTCCCGACCAAAAATAAATTGTCTCTCTCGTTCTCACCTTGACCCCTGTGTATCGTTATCCTGCTCTGATTATGGAAGTTGTGAAAGAAGCTTTCTCTCTCAACTTGTATCGCTTATTATAAACTTTCGGTGCAGTTATACGTGTATAGTAAACCAAATATTAAAGAATTGCCTAAAATCAGATTTAGAGAGCGGTTGGCTGCATACATGGGCCGAGTGAGAGCAAGAGAGATGGATAATCGTGAAATAAAACCCAAGGTCACTCATACGTCACTCTGATTGCCATTGATTGAGACATCAATGATATTCGCTGAATTTAACGACGCGTGACTCATCATTTTTCGAACGAAAGAATGTAATTGCATTTTAAAAAACTGCAAAATTTCCACTCGAAATTTACATTTTTACCAGAGAACTGTTTGTAATCTCTAACTGAAAAGTTTATAAATTTTTCATCTGACCACGGGCAAAAAGCAGCAAAATGTTAGACGGATGATGCTCGTACGGTCATATCGATGGCGAAACTGTAGAACCACGTTTCTCTGTTTGCGACGTTGCAGACTTTCCTTCTTTATTTTTACTCTAGGAAACTATTCAACGTGATTTCTTGAAGACCAATTTGTTTTTCCCTCTCTTTTCTGCAGAATATTCTGTACAAATTTAAAGTTATGTAGTTAATTTGTCCCTCTTTCAAAAAATAAATCAGGGGCAGACATTTTGAAAGACCGCAAAGGAGATACGATGTTGCGAACTGTAGCCATCAAATATTCTTATAAAAGAGGTAAAGCGTTGAAATCAATTTTACAACCTATTGGAACGGAGAAAGGTACGTTCCTTCGTTTGGGAAACGATTTCGAGCCAATAGATCGTTTTCGATAGTGGTTCGATGTATCGTTTCGTTCAAAACAATAGAACATTCAGTCGGAATAGCTGAAGATGAGAAAATTCTCAACTATTTCACCTTGCGATGCCATTTAGTACTCATTAGAATAAAAAATCTATCAGAAAAACCCCGTTTCCTCAGATTACT